GATTACTTGCCTTCTTCTCGACTCACCGCAGACTACAAGGCAATCTCCTGGCACTTGCACATTTGTCGGCAACGAAGCTGCACTATCGACCTCCGGTCTGAGCAGGGGGTGATGTAGCAGCGCTGTCGTCGCGCCACTAGCACACCGAAACACACCGAAGCATAAATCGTGCTATTAACATTCCGAATCATAGACAGTATATATAGAACTTCTCCGAACTATCACTCGGAGTGTTGGCCGCTCCCCGGGCAGAACACCTTGCCCGGTGGGAGATCTCCTCTTTTCCTTCACGGCCACAGTGGTGACCCCGACGTGATCTGAACACGCAACCAACAACCTTCGGAAACTTCAAGCTTCTTCATCGTCATAAAATACTCCACCCATTCGCTCCCGAGCAGATATCGTCTGCAGTCTTCATATCCTGCAAGCCAGCTAGCCTCACAAGGTTCATCGCAGCACTGGAATAATAACGCTTCCTGTTCCTTCAAGCTACTCTCTGCGCTATACAGTGTTCGGCATGGCTCTGAGCCTTACTGCTCGCCTCTGCTTCACGGCACTCTCGCAGATTACTTGCCTTCTTCTCGACTCACCGCAGACTACAAGGCAATCTCCTGGCACTTGCACATTTGTCGGCAACGAAGCTGCACTATCGACCTCCGGTCTGAGCAGGGGGTGATGTAGCAGCGCTGTCGTCGCGCCACTAGCACACCGAAACACACCGAAGCATAAATCGTGCTATTAACATTCCGAATCATAGACAGTATATATAGAACTTCCCCGAACTTCACTCGGAGTGTTGGCCGCTCCCTGGGCAGAACACCTTGCCCGGCGGGAGATCTCCCCTTTTCCTTCACGGTCACAAATTCAATCATTTAAACAGAACGATTTTATATAAAACCAGAATGAATGAATCCAGATATCAAAAATAAATTATAGTTCTATGTACGTTATAGTGTTAAGAAGCGGAAACACTTTTTACTAGAAACGAGGCTTTCCATCTAAGGATTAACAACGGGTTAGCATTTTAATACTTAATCGAGGATAACAATTGATGTCTATAGGCCCAAGCATCAACTTACTATCAGATGGACGGTGTACTCGCTTATCACCCTTATGCTATAAAAAGTTGTACAGTTAGGCCAACTTCCTTCTTTTTATTATGAAAGTGTTATGGAGCAGCGTTTACTGCTCTGTTCCATTGCGTCTTGGCGGACTTAATACACCAACGATCTATTTTATTGCTCAGACATGTAGGTTCCTACGCAATGGATCAAAACTTACATAGTGTAAGTTTTGATCCCTTGAGTTTAAAATACTTATTTTGCCTTTATAGAATCAAAACTTAGTCTATTATAGCGGAAAATTACTCTTAGCATATAGTTCGATCTCCCTCCGGGTAATCGTAAATTTTAACTCAAAAGCTTTAAATGCAAAACACATTATAATTTGCAAACTTATAAATATTAAGTAATTATATTCTTTATTTATTATCTCTAATGCTGAATTCGATGTTTAAGAAACACTTTGTTTTCCTTTACGAGGCGTTTAAAGGACATGAAAAATGTTTTTCAAGACTGAAAGAAAATATAAGTGGTTTGGATAAATTATGTGTAAATGAATTAGACTTGGAGAATGTATGGCAAAATGTTAAAAAAGGCTTAGTGAATACATCACCCAGAGGGGCAGGCAGAGACTAGAGACTTCCGTTTGGCACGATCTTGACACACCTCTTTCGCCTCCTTTATATCCGTATATCATTTTCAAAATATAGCCAATTTAGTCGATGAACCTTCTTCTAAGGCGTCCCTTCCCGACTCTGCCGTTCACATATGCACTATAAATTTGCTTTGTCAGTCTTTCCACGTTCATTCTTTCTACGTGACCAAACCAACAAATCATACCTTTCTTAATCCTGGTCACAAAATCATCTTATAATAAGTTAAAAAAATAATAATAAAAAAGTGAATACCCTCATTGTTTCAATGAGGGTATTTACTTTTTTATTAATATCAGGTTTTTTACATAATATTGAAATATATTTTTACTATTAAAATCTGTAAGTACTTGGGTGACACTGAAAGTTCTTAGAAAATCAAAAATTGAACAAACTAGTAAGTTATTAGCATCATTATATCTTTTCAAAATAGTGTCGATTTACATCAATACATCGCTGCATCCGATGGAACTACTGAGAAAAGCACTTTGCCCACTCGTCCTTAGGGTCTCTGTGACGGCATCTTGAAACGCAGCCATTGCTTCCTCCGCGTTCGTATAACGTTTTCCTCGAAGTTTTTCTTTTTTTTTTCGGAAATAATTAAAAATCGCGAGGTCGGGGCTATAGGGCGCGTGACCCAGTAACTCCACGTCTGACGTTTCCAAGTAGTCGATTGTTTGCTTAGCGGTGTGGGACGACGGGGAGAATGCAGGAGGATCCTATTGCGAGATCGTTTCTTCGGAATTTTTTTCCAAGACAAGTTGCAAACAATTGTTAGTATACCACTCTGCAGTAACTGTTTTTCGGTTCTCTCAAACAATTATTGCGTAATGATTACAACTCCTCGGAAGGAAACACCTAGATAGCAGACTATCTCCTAGTTTCAGGATCATAACAATAAAATCCAGCTTTCATCACCCCAAGTATGTCGAATACAGCATTTGAGTCACCTCCGTTATATCTTTAAATGCTTTGATGACACCAATCAACATGACGGAGTTTTTGGGCCTCTGTCATACTATGAGGTATCCACCGGGCACAAAGCCTCCGGACCGCTAAAATATGTTCATTGAGGATTTTGTGCACTTGACTCATACCGATGCCCAAGCTTGTCCGAATCTGCTGATAAGTCACTCTTTTGTTAGTCTCTATCATACGCTAACACTGATGTTATCTTCAGTCATTGCCGTAGAGGGCCGTCCCTCACGTAGTTCATCAGCAGGTGAGATTATTGTGACCACGTTTAAACTCATTAAACAGTGGCACGAAATGGGGCTTCATCGTGAAAGGTCAATCGAAGTCTATCATAACTTTCTTCTTGACTTAAATGACATCGAAAGTCATAAAAATTCATTGTACGAAAATGTTGTGAATTGGGACAGATAATTTTAAACTTGCTGCCAAATCTTAAACAACCATTATTAAAATACATCAAATTGCAAAGAGTTCTATTTTCAAAACTTGACTTATTTTTTTTATTGTATCGTTTACAAGTGGCCAGTTCTAAAAACTTTCAGTGTCGCCCTCGAAAAAAAACTTAAACTATAAACTTAAATTATCACACAGTCCTACTCCCCCTGTAAAAATAATTATTTTTAGGTGCAAAATTTCACGATAAAGGCCCGCTTAAGATTTCAGTAATATTTAATTATTGAATAATATTTTCATACTAATTATAATTGTCCCTTTATTTAAATCTGGTTTAATAACGGTATATCATTATTTATAAATATTTTAACATAAATATAAAACTTGGATACATTTTGAAAAGTAACCCTGTAGAAGTCTCATAACTTGGCACAGGTCTACCCTAATTTCTGAGAGGGAACCACGTAACATCTTTACTCGTAGCACAAGGATCTAGCAATCAAGTTTGAATTATCGAAGACATGTGAAATTTAATTTTTTACTTAAAACGCAATATATAAATAAACGGAATTCTACTGTCTGAATAAAAACATGAAGTAAATTAATAATATTTTATTCAGTTAATATTAATTAAAGCTCTTATGGCCGCAAAAATCTAACACTGGAAGAAAGAAAGGAAAGGAAGGAGGAACTGACAAGATCTCAGGGATCGTTTTACTATTTTTTTATATTTTAGTATTAATTCCATTTTACATTAACAATAATTGAGTTCTTTATATGAATTCGTCATGTAGCGGTGGCGTAAGACCATCTACTACCCTGTATTGAAGGAATCTAAAACAGAAAAATGGGCTGAAGCATCTTCCTGATAGACAAACTAAATAAAATAAAAACGGTTGACAATCAACTGTGTAGATTGAAAACTATGAAATATACTCATGTTATGAGGTAATCTATGGGAGAGGTATATGTTCAGCAGTGGACTTTTATGCGCTATAATTAATGGATGAGACAATGATGATCACCTCTTCGACTTATTTGATCTCAACACGCATTGGGGTAGCGCGGCGGACACTTCGTTGCCCTAAAACCCTCTCAGGGGAGGCCTGAGCCAAGTAGTAGGACGTATATAGGCTGTAACTTTACTTTACTTTTATATCTCAGAATGTTAAACAAAAAGGTACAGCGAGATCTCGTTGACAGTGATGATTAAGGAACTTTAAACGTGATCCTTCACTACTAGCCGTATGAGGAATTCAAAGTTACTTAGCGTGCTGTGGAGATGCTTAAAGTGATTTTGCGTGGTAATCCGTAACGAAGATATTTCCAAAAGAACGAACTAACATATCCCATTAGATCAGAAGAACTAACAACCGATGAGGAACAAAGATTCACAAGTAGTGGTCTCGTGTTAACAAGTGCATTTTTGGGCAATCTTTTACTATATACTATTCGATGGTCGCCAACTAATCATGTTCATAGTAATCTAAATTTGATCCTATGTTCAGTACTAGACTTATAATATGCTTTAGTATTAACGATGATGAATTTTATTGTATGATATTTTTTATACTAGTCGATCAATTTTTTAAAAGGTATCCTATTTGTATAGATACTGTAGAGGTAAGGATACGTAATTTTTGTTAAACCGAATTCTAAATCACGCTATCGAAGTTTATCTTAATTTATTCTTCAGGCTGTTAAGTAAATTTCATTATAAACTATTGTATCAGTTTTTATATCTTACCGATTGAGTGCATATCACTTTAATCAACAATACAGACGTTTTCAAAATGGAAATGGTATAACTTTGATCGATTCAAACTAGGCGCGCCACAGTCAATAGAACTGTTGTTATCGTTCATTACTTCTTTAAAACTTTCAAATCAGTTCCTAGCTTTTTTGTGTTATTATTCACATGGATAAACAGTTTCTAAGCGCTAACATTTTAAAAGTAAATTGTGGGACAATTATAAGTTTAAAATAAATGATACACTGAAACTATTCGATCGTCAATCCGATCTGATTGAGGCAAATTCTTCCTACTACGGGAGATACCCATGTCGAGCAATGGAAAGTACATACTAATGATGAGGAAGATCTAACATAAATCTAAGGAATGTGTTTACGGGGCTACGAGAACAGATATTGTGCATCATCTGGTGACGGTGTAAGGAGGATGTCCCCTACCCCATAAGTGTCGCAAGTGGTGACATTGGTAAATTGAGCCAGGAAATGGGCAGTAGTATATTTCTGATAACCCGCTTGCCAACCCTGGCATCTACGGCACATTTCCCCTACAAGAAGCATTCTATATTTCCCCATAGCACAATCCCATTGACATTATGCTATGGAAATAACTGAAATAAACTAATTTAGCTGTCTTGACACTAGTGAGATCTGTAATCTTGCATCTTAGCGTCGAGGGTGATGCCAAGAAAAACAGAGGATTCAACAGGGCCCAGTACTTCCCCATTTAAAACACACTGGTTTTAAGAGAAAACTGAAAATGGGGCATTCCATCTTAGTCCTCAGGGGTGACAACGCGTCTGCATTTTGGTTCATGAGAATAAAAGTAAATGTCTATAGGCCGCAAACCCATTTACCATCAGGTGGAATTTTGAAAAGTTATGCCTATGTGCAGCAGTGAAATTTTGAGAAGTTGTAATGATGATGTTAATGCTATGGGAACAGATATTTTAAATAAATTAAAATGCTATGTACAATTGAAAAGTCAAATTAATAATGAAAGTCAAAACTCGAAATCTATATAAGTAAAAATAAAGGTAATAATCACCAATTTTGACTTACGTCACGTCACACGATATTTCCAGAAAAATTTCATTTCTCCCTCATATATTTTTTTTTTCGTAAAGGAGTGAATGCACGTCATCGAATTCAGCATTAGAGATAATAAATAAAGAATATAATTACGATGTTTATGTCTGATACACATGTGTAGCTTGCTCGACTTTACAGTTAATATTTATAAGTTTGCATATTATAATGTGTTTTGCATTTAAAGCTTTTAAGTTAAAATTTACGATTACCCGGAGGGAGATAGAACTATATGCTAAGAATAATTTCCCGCTTATAATAGACTAAGTTTTGATTCTATAAAAGCAAAATAGGTATTTCAAACTCAAGGGATCAAAACTTACACTTTGTAAGATGGTACAATTATATTCTTTATAGTTAATTTAATTTAAAGCTATATTTTGACATCATTTAATATAGACAAACTTTCACACCTGTCACCCAAAGTGGTAGGCAGATATTACAGAGTTTCATTTGACAAAATCTTGAAACGCCTCTTGCAACTTTTTGATTAATAAATATGATATAATTATGTCTAAATATAGTATTAACCAGCCCTATCACATTGTTTATATATATATATATATATATATATATATATATATATATATATATATATATATATATATATATATATATATAAATAAGTCCGATTTTGGCGATATTGACTTTTCTGTATTTTCAAAACACCTAAAACATGCCGCATATTTGAGCCTTACAGGCGTTTTCGTATCTTATTCCGTTCCAAAAATATATCCATTTTTGTCGGACAGATGGAATAATAAATATCTTCAGACAAACACTATTTTTTTTAAAGGAAAAATAAATAACTCAGTAAATAAATCAATAACTGTGGTCAATGATAAGTTGCATGTCAAATAAATTAAATAACATGAGTTGTTGAATTTTTCCTCAACTTCAAAATTCTTTCACAAAACTAACTAAGTTCTAGGAAAACTAAGTAATTCTATTTATTTAATTCTGCTATTCAAAATTCTGATATAACGTACTTAATTTATAAATACTTGATGTTATCTATTTCTTCTACAACTAGATAATGATTAATTATAAGATACTAGGCAAATAAAATTAAATAAATTAAGTTGTTTATAATTGCCATAAAACAAAATGCACCTGAGGAAAGTCATTATTAAATTTTTAAGAAAATTTGGCGCGAAATATTCTGATCGGGAACGACGACGGAGAGCGCGGGGCAGGGGTGAGATGGTGCGGTTTGATGCATCGCTCGCGTGTCGTGTGTTTTATTTCATAACTTTTAGTATTTATGTCATAACTATGTACTGATATTTATTTTATTTATTTTTTCCTCCCTTATGCGAGTTTGAATATCAATCATTTTGAGTTGTGGGAGAAGTTGATAACTCTTCTGCTTTCATTGGAATTTTGACTCTTAAGTTGAAGAATTAAGGTTACTTTTAGCTTGTCACACAAATTGTTTTTGTTGGGTATTTTCGTTAAATATTCTTTTAAGAGTGAAACTACGTAGGGTACCTACGTTTAAATCTGACAAGTCTGACAGTCCCTCCCGACCCGCCCAGGGCGGCAGAACTCATTTGATGATTTTACCACCCCATAAAAAAAGGTACCTATAGCAAAAAAATAATTTTTAGTTAACAAATAGATTTTTTTGTTTTGTTTACTAGGCGGTTTTATTTACTAGGTGCTCAGATAGTTCTTAGGAGTGGTCCCGTTTTAAGTACCTAACTCTTGTTGTATGGCTGAAATTATTACCTAAGTGACCTAACCAACCTAGATACCTAATGTATCTAACCGTATCAAAGTTGGCGAATTCCGAGGCTTATTAAGCTTGATGACCAAACGTGTGCCTTGACTTGACTCGACAATTTTGACTGCATAAACTCTTGTCACATGATTATTATTTTACTTGTTTCCTCATTAAATACCTACTATATTATTTCTTGTTATTGTTTTAGGACAAAAGTAAGACAATCAAACAACAGGACCAAAGTACCATTATTGTCAGCCCACTAAAACATAATGTTATAACATGCCAGAAATTACCATCCGAAATGAAGAAAAATGATATTACGATAGAAAAAATTCCCGATGGGCTGTTGGTTACTGATGTTCCTAAGCTTCCTGATCATGACGGATTTAAGATAATTACATGCGAATCGGCTCCAGCATCAATAATGGCTAGCGACATGATTACTAATAACATTAATCAACCCCAATCAGCACCTATGCCTGTAAATGTCAGTCCCATGTCTTTGTGTAGCAGTAAAATTAATTTAAATGAAGATGACGACATAATATTATACAACTATAAATATGTCAGTTCGCCTATCAGAGGGTCAAGTCCAATTTCGGGTATCGAACCAATACCACCTTCGACAGATGAAGAACCTTTTTCTGATTCTGGATCTTCATGGATTCCGGACACAGAAGTAGAAAATAAAATAAAAAGGAAAAGTAGTTCTTTAATAAACATCAATATTTCAGCTAAGAAGAAAAAAAGAGTTAAGAGATTTGAACGAATAAACCCCATTTTGTCGAGTGACTCTGAAGACGAAATAGGTAATATTATAACAACTCGCGCTATTATTGAAACTCCTATTGACCAAGTCTCACCAGTTAACCGTGATAGAAGGATCATGGAACACAATATCACAATCGCTGAGACAACAGATTCAGAAAAAGGAACAGGAAATAAGGAAAAAGAAATCTACAGATGGAAAAATACTAATCAAAAAAACTGGAAAAGAAATAAAGAGTTGGAGAAGAAACGAAAATGTTTGCCATATAAGAGTAAAACTGGAAAATTTCTTGCAGCTAAACTACCTAAAAGTCCTAAATGCAGCCAAAATTGTCGCCAGAAATGCACAGAAAAGTTTACACAAAACGAGCGTGAGAAAATTTGCAAATCCTATTGGTCTATACAAGATTTTAAGCTGCAAAAAGAGTTTTTGCTTAAACACTACAAGAAAATCTGTACCGATCGAAAAACAAAGAAGTTCTAGCAGAGAATACGGTTTCTATAAAAATAAGACTGTATTTGAACGAGTATGCAAGAACTATTTTATGTCCACTCTTTGCATTTCTACTGGTCCAATCGAAACTGCAGTAAAACATGTGGATGATCATGGTGTATTTACAAAAATGGATAATCGTGGCAGACAAGCGCCTGCAAACAAAACTCCTGGAGAACAGATACAAGAGGTAAAAAATCACATTGAAAGTTTTCCTGTAATTGATTCCCATTACTGTAGAAAAAAAACAACCAGGAAATACTTGTCAATATCAAAAATGTATGATTTGTATGTGCAGAAAATGAAAGAAAGCAATAAAGTGCCAGTAAAATTAAACATTTATAAGAAAGTGTTTGGTACAGAATACAATTTAGCGTTCTATCACCTCAAGAAGGATCAATGTAGCATTTGTAACAATTACAAAAAAAGATAAAACTAATACAAATATTCAAAATGAGTATACTCAACATATAGAGCGAAAAGAGGCATCTTATAGATCTAAAGAGCTGGATAAAAAGAAGTCGGGAGAAGATGAATTATATTTGTGTGTCACCATGGACTTGCAAAGTCTACTGCAGATTCCATCGACTGCAGATAGTCTATTGTATTATTCCAGAAAATTAAATTTATATAATTTATCTATTTATGAGTTTAAACCTCCACAGAACGACGCTCACTGTATGATCTGGACGGAAATAAACGGCAAAAGAGGCAGTGTTGAAATAGCATCTGCTATTCATTTATGGATTAAGAATCTCCCCGAGGTTTTAACGCACGTCACCATTTATTCCGACACGTGCTCCGGACAAAACCGAAATCAGTACATAGCAGCATTTTTATTATACTTAGTACATACGCATGAGACAATCAAAGTATTAGAACAGAAGTATCTAGAAAGTGGTCATAGTTTTATGGAAGTAGATTCAATGCATAGTGCCATAGAAAAAGAAAAAATGTACACAGACACGTATTCTATAATAGATTGGAAGGGAATTATGCTACGGGCAAGATCGAAAAGACAAAATAAAAATGTAACTCCATATAATGTAACTGAATTATCATATCAAGACAAGTGTGCTGGTTGAAAATAAAATGTCTTAGATTTGAAAAAGAATTACCTGGTTTTATTAAATACAGATACGATTACGATGGGCCATATAACTTACTAAATACTCTTTGTAAACAAGGGAGACCGACTAGGAGAACTCCAAACTCTGAAATGCCAACTATAAATACTGAAGATCTTCCCCGGGCATATAAACAATGTCTTCCTATAACAAAACAAAAAAAGAAAGACCTTTTACAGCTCTGTAAGAAAAATATAATTCCTAAAGAGCTTCACGGGTGGTACGAAAGTTTACCATGTTCAAACGAAGACCAGGGTCCATCACGCTCCACTGATTCATCTGAAGTCGATGAGTAAGCTTATTTTGACCCCTTGCTCTACACATTGCTGAAAACTAAACTAAACTTTTAAACCCTAACAGCATGAGTAAAATGATTTTACAATAGGGTTTTTACATTGTTAAATTAACTTAATGTTTATTTTTAGAGTCATGTTTTTTAATACATTTGTTATTTAATTTTAAATTATACTTTTTTTGTGATGTGTTTGCTCTTGACTCTAGTCTTGGTCAGAGATGACAGAGACAAAGTCTACGATGGAGCGAGCTTACCCAGAAGGAGCCTGTTCACTCTAACTTTGAAGGGATTTACGCTGTGTTTGAATGAATGGGTATTTTTGGTTTATATATTTTTTACAAGTTTACATTTAAGTATTGATTAGGTATAGCCATTTCAATTGTTTTGAATTTAAATTATGTTTTATTTTGTTATGAAAGTATTTCTAGTTCTAAGTAAATTGATATTAGAATAAGTTGTTGATTGATGTAGTCAATGTACCTGATTAGTGTCATATTATTTTTTGAGTTTTGAGTTATATTTAAGTGTTGTGTTACCTTACCTTATCACGATATATTTTTAGTTGAATTGAGTCGTTTGAAAGTTTTATAATGATTGCTGTACCTTTGTTTTGGTGTTCATTTTTTAGTTGAGTACTGACCTATGGCTTAGGTGCAAACAATTTTAATTTTTTTGAGTTTTAACACAGAATAGGATTATAGTACTGTTTTAATTATGTTTTGATTTGATACAATCTTATGTTTTTTAGTTCTAATTGATACCTATTTTAAGTTTTTCATAGTTTTTTTACTTACTACTTAAGTACGTCTTTTATAATTAGGTCTGATTTTAGAGCCATAATGTTATTTTTTGGGTTCAAATTATTTTCTGTTTTGATTTGAAAGAATACTTTAAGTTAATTTGTTTCCACTTGTTATAATTGGTGTAATTTTGTTTATTTTTTTAAGTTTGTGGTAAGATAAGTATCTGATTACAATACACTTTTTCTAAATTTTATTGTACTTTTCTATTTCTTCCTGAATATAAATTTATTAATATCATAAAACAACTATTATTTTATATGAGACCAATAATAGTTAAAAAAAATATCGAAGTAATAATAACGTACAAAGCCACTAAATTTTACATTTCAAAATATTTCGAGTTTGATAAATTCAATAAATGCATTTATTTCACCAAATTTTACTCTACCAAATGTATTTAGTTTGTAGGAAAACTAAATAAATAGCCGAAGTAAGTAGATAATTGTAGTACGTTATAAATAACAGTTGTGGCAAAATTAAACAACTTGATTTTTTATGTGTTATTTAGTTATAGTTAAAGATTGAGTTCAGTTTGTTAAAGCATAATGTAAAAGGTAATCAGGTCCACAAAATATCAAATTACCGACAGTAAAATTGTCTCACATTTTTAACAAATCTACATTAACTGAAAAAAAAACACTAAATCGCGTTTATCTCAGAACTACAAAATCAGAGTTATTTAATTTTCCAACTACGGGGACGATATATATATATATATATATATATATATATATATATATATATATATATATATATATATATATATATATATATATATATATATATATATATATATGTAGATGCGTTATCAGCCTTTCAAATTTTGACATTAAAATCACCGAACAATAAAACATAATAGTGATAAATAACTATGAAAAATAATAAATAATTATGTCCTCTAGACCGAATTTCGGCCACTGTAACCTGTTTGAACGGAGGTTAGCCATCTGCGCAGCACAGGTGCACTCTCCATTCCCTCACAGTTGTAGTCCGATGAGATAGCTATGCGACACAATCAAAGAATTTCTTGACAGAAAAACTCAATAACTGATTTTTTACGTTTACGTTTTGTGTGCAGTGTATCTTGTGTACGGCGGCGGTGCTATTTTTGGAAAAAAATGACGTTATCGTGCAACAACTGTAGAATCGTCATATGTGAATTATTGTCTTATGTACAGAACAAACTGTCTGTAGCGGATGAAGACAGTATTGTGAGAATATGTGCTGCGACGTTTTCGTCTGAGGAGATCGAGCAGGCGAATAAATTACTCGTGGATTCCCTACCGCAGGATCTGCGTAAACTAAGAGGAAGGGAAAACCGTTTTTTAAACGATATAATCAGCCTTTTTAAGGGCATCGACCCTGATGTTTTGCCAGTGTTCGTAGCAAGTTTAGGTAAGTTACCTCCGATTACCTTCGATCATCTTGACGTCTCAAAACTACTTAAGGACCTAGCTGTTGTGCAGGCTGAGATGAAACACATTAAGTCGTCATACACAACTATCGACCAGCTAGAAAAAGTGAAAACGGAATTCCAAAATCTCAGGAATACATCGCCGCCCTTCTCAGCTGCAAAGGTGAACATGAGAAGAGGCGTTTATCGAGAAAGTGGGCCCATAGCATTGTCTCAACTTGATAATACGATCATTACAAATCACAGCGAGCATTCGGATGTTGAAGCGTCATCTCCGAGAGATCTTAATTTTAACAATAGTAGCATAAATTATACGGAGGGTAGTGCGTTTGGAAGTTACAAAGCACATCCCTCGAGCGGGATAGGCGCACGCAGCACGTAACAGGGTAGCGGCGCTGGCGCGGGCGGTGCGAGTGATGAGTCACCGCAAACGGCGAGCGCGCCGAGCGCTCCGAGCGCGCAGCCAAGGAGCGAGGCTGAGCCGAGCTGGACAGCGGGGCAGGCTGCGGGGCCAGCGGGTGTGTTAACGTTCGTCGAGGTGACTAAAACAGAGGGTGAGTGGAATATTGTACATCGTCGGAAACCTAAAACGAGATAGTATCGTTATCTGGGCGCTGCGGGTGTTTCCAATGACCAGAATTGTAATTTTAAAGCCGCGGACAGAAAAATGCCAATATTTATTACTATGGTGCATAAGGAGACGACGGAGAAGGATATTGTGGAATACGTTTACAATAAGACGCAAGAAAATATTAAACTGGAAAAGATATCTTTTGTACCAGAGCGGAAAGTAAAAATATTTTTAGATGCAACACTTTGGCCGGAGGGTGTTATATGCAGGCGATTCGTCAACTTCAGGCGAAATAATAGCAGTGGCACGAACGGTGTAGCAAACGGCGCTGTCGTCGCGCCACAAGCGAAATACACCGAAGCCTAAATCACGCTATCAACATTCCGAATCATAAACAGTATATATAGAACTTCTACGAACTATCACACAGAGTGTTGGCCGCTCCCCGGGTAGAACACCTTGCCCGGCGGGAGATCTCCCCTTTTCCTTCCTCACCGGCCACAGTGGTGACCCCGACGTGATCTGAACACGCAACCAAACAACCTTCGGAAACTTCAAGCTTCATCATCGTCATAGAATACCCCACCCATTCGCTCCCGAGCAGATATAAACTGCAGTCTTCATATCCTGCAAGCCATCTAGCTTCACAAGGTTCATCGCAGCACTGGAATAATAATGCTTCCTGTTCCTTCAAGCTACTCTCTGCGCTATACAGTGTTCGGCACGGCTCTGAGCCTTACTGCTCGCCTCTGCTTCACGGCACTCTCGCAGATTACTTGCC